TGTACTGGCCATGTTGGCTACCCTCCTTTCCTTGTGGTACTGCTACAAGTCTTCCAATTTTCAGGAGCTCATGGGAGAAACTGGGGAGAAGCAAGGATAAAATGTTGTGCTCTTTCTGCAGAAAATACATTAGTACTACTTCTCAGAAGTAGTAATTTATAAAGGAGTTCTTTCAGTCTACGCTTAAAGAGTAATTTTCCTGGCATAATGATGAGACTTTTTTGCCGTTTACCCATCTGAATGTTTTTTGATGTGTATCTTGAGATCTGAAATGCCAGTGAGGGTAATACCTTTGTGTAAGATTAATTAGGGGTACAGGAAACTAACTCATTGTTATTGTTCTTAGCTTGAAAACAGCAGCCTGGAATGTGGAGTTCTAATGCACTTGGAAATGCTTGCATTGCCCTTCCTGCTCATCAGAAATACAGCTTGGTTCCGTAGTACAGCAGGGGAGTAGCTGTTCACTGAAAACAAATAATCCTGGAATGAAGTTCGGGGTAGAGTGTCACTCCAGAAAGAGAAGTGGCCCTCTGGGCAGTCTTAGAACTTACTATGAATTTCTGAGTGTATCAAATAAATGGATCAAAAGTGAATAAGGCAAAGACTAAAATGTGGGAAAATTTGTGTTTTCTAAATGAGTGTTTGCAGTGTTAGTAGTGGGTATGAATAAAATCTTGTATTTCTGTTTTCTGTAGCTTATTTTTTTTGTTGAGGCTATGGGAGCAATAGCACTCTGGTCCTGCTGGATGACATCCTGGATAGGAGTAACACAAACCTTAATTATTCAGCTTGTCCAGATTTGACAGGAAGTCTGGACAATTTTACTGCAGCTTTTTAATTTAAGATGTATCTCTTGGATGCCAGGCTTTCTGAGGATTATGCCTAGTGCTAGTGCTTTCCTTATATCCTTACTAGGAGGATGAAACACAGGAAAGCCCACAGCTGGAGAAGCATAGGGTGCTCCAAACACCTCATGCCCTAGTACACATTCTTCATTTGTTTTTACAGTGGGGTGGCGCTGGACTCACTGAGTTACCTGCCTCAAAAAAAAGACAAAGTTACCACGTTGTCTAATATTCTTTTACCTAACTGTAGCACTCTACTATTCCCTGCAGTCTATATAAAATAATGTGGAAACACTGGGTTTTGCAGGTTGGGAGGGTTTGGAGGGTTTCTTTTGCGGTTTGTTTTGTAGGCGTTTTTGTTTTGTTTGGGTTTTGGCTGCAGGAGCATCTGGCATCCTTGTCTAATCTCGTGTTGCTGTAGTGTAAAAGATACAAAACATGAAAAAGCAGTATGGTAATACTTTTATAATAAATTTCAAAATCTGTACACCATGAATAAGTAAAGACTGACTTAAACTATGAAAAGAAGATTTTTAATGTTAAAACTCCTTAACCATTTGGGTGATACATTTGAAAGGAAGCAACAAGAAAAACTGCAGCATTCAGGTAGCTGAAATGAAACATTAGATTCTGGTGGTTTAATTTTTACTTGTAGTCTCATTAAAAATCCTGAATCCTAAATCACTCCTTGCTTAGCTGTGAATGGAGAGTGGTAGCCAGGAAGAGAAGTTTGGTTGGGACTGTATTCTGAAGCCATGGCTTTCCAGGATGAAGACTTCCCTGCTGCCTTCAAATAACTCACAAAACTTGTAATTCAAGTCCTGTCAGCTATGCTTTATTCCTTGGTAAAACATCACTGAACTGTCTTCTGTTTTTTAGTAATTTTGGATTTCTAATTTATTTGGATTTTTTTTAGTAATTTTTTTTTATTTTTTTCTGTAGTCTCTCAAAAAGCCAAAACACTGAACTGTCTTCTGTTTTTTAGTAATTTTGGATTTCTAATTTTTTTGGATTTTTTTTTTAGTCTCTCAAAAAGCCAAAGCCTCAGGCTTTACTTAGAGTGGAGTTTTTACTCTTCATTAGTGTTAATGTGAATTCCTGGGCTATAGGCAGCAATAAACTTCAGCAGCTGATGGTGACACTGCATGAGGTAAATATCTCTCTGTTGCAGGGAGTTTTCATCACTGAGGTCAAATGGAAATACAGGATTGGGTGCTACACATAATGCAGATGTGCCTAGGCAAAGAAGAAATTAGGCTATAAGACTTGATATTTGCCAGTACTTTGAGGGGAAAAAAAGAGCTGTGATGCAAATTGCGTAGTAATACAGTCCTAGATCATAATTCTTGCCTTGCTTCCAAATCTGTGAACAAGTATGACTGATGCTTAATAAACCAAAAAACCTCCAACCCTTGTTTTTGGTTTTCCCAGGGAGGGAAATCTGCCCTTAGTTTAACCTGAGCCGGTGTTAGAGGGGCAATGCCTTAAATAAACCAGTATGAAGGACAGACTTGGTGCTGGTCTGTGGCCTCATTACATCATTACATACAGCACTGAGACAAGCTGACAGACTCCTCCAGGACCCATCCTCAGTGGAAGTTCTGGATTTTGATTTGAAATTACCTGCTATTGCAATCAATGGATGTAGCATTTTTGAATTTTTTCAGACTGACAAATGTGACAGTGATGCACCCAAGCACTATGGAGCTGTTGTGTGTTACTTACCGTGTTTTAGGGTCAGCGATGACTCCAGTAACAAGACTGCAATCACTGCATCTTCCTCAAGTACTGTCTGCCTTAAACTGAGCTTGGCATGAGCCTTAGCCAGTGAAATCCTGAGAGATCAATACAAGCATGTCAGAAATGAAAAATAACTGCAGGCATGAGTGCAATGTGTATTGCCCTGTGTCAAACACTTGCATAAATTAAAAGTGGGGTGGTTTTTCTCATACTTCAGCTGTGTGGTTACACTTATCACTGACAAAATACATATTATGCATGAACTTTTTGTGTTAAAAAGTGGAACTCGGCATGTTCCATTAATACTTCTTTTGCTCCCATAATAAAGCTGTATATATTTAAATCCTTTTTTTTTTTTTCCCCTTGATAGCTTTAATAATGATACATGTGTTATAAATGGCTGGGTTGGTTTGGTTTTGTTTTTTTGTTGGTTTTTTTTGTTTGTTTTGTTTTGTTTTTTTTTGCCTGGCAAAGTTGTTTGAACTTTCTTTTAGCAGTGTCAAAATATAAAATAAATGGCATTCATAAATAGTAAGATTATTTATGCTTGAACGTATTAAACAAGCTCCTGAGCAGATTAGCACAATTTCTCTTTGAAAATGGAAAGTAGGACGTACAGAATTTTTAGTGCAGAGGCTGATAACGTTGATCCGTGAATGGAATCTCTTCTCACCCTGCGACTTGCAAGATAGTAGCCCTGAATGAGACTTTCTGCTTCTGAACTCAGTTCAACATGAAGATTCCTAGCATGCAAAATAAACTAGAGAGAAGGCATACATTTTAAATATTGAACAGGAAAATAAGGAATTTACCTTTTTTCACACCTTTTCATATACCAATGGCCTAGTAATACCATATATTCTAGCAATAGCTTTACTAGTAAAGACAGTTGTCACCATTTGGCTATACTGAATAAAAAAAAAATATGAAAGATGATAATAGGGACACATCTTGGATAGTAAAAATATTAGAGAATGGTTTGGGTTGGAAGATTATTCCATTACAACTTTACTCCAATGGGGCACTTTCCACTAGACCAAGTGGCTCAGAGCCCTGTCCAGCCTAGCCTTGAACACTTCCAAGTGGGAATCATCTGTTACGCTATAACTATTGACAATTTAATTAGAATTCAATGTTAACATCTACTGGTTGAAAACCTTTTGGTCAAAAACAGATATTGGAGATCTGTTCTCTGTATAACTGTTAGTATGTTTTCCAGAAGCACTCTCAAACTGTATTTATTATACTGACCCTTTTCAAGATCTGAAGCTGCTTTTGTCAATGATCCAAATGGTGCTAGTGGAAATGTGGGGGAAAGGGTGGAAAGTAATTATTAAAAGTAAGCAGACAGCAGAGGGAACTTTCTGATGCCAAACCCAGTAAGATATTCACAAATATAATGCCTCTCGTATAATTTGTTACCTCCTCATAATCCTGTGTTCTGAACTGCTGTGAGACTTTGTACAGCATGGCTTCAGGATTAATGGCTTTTTTCAAGGTATGATGTACAACAGGAGAAGACAGGCGACAGGAGGGAAACTCATTGTAGATCAAGAGCCCAAAACCATCTACAAGGTTAACTGGAATCAAACTCACATCCTAAAGAAAAGATCCATAGAAAGAAAACATCTACTTTATTTTGGGCTTTTGACTTAAAGAAGCATCACAGTGTTTTATATCTGAAATATCCCATATCCACTTATACTGCAAGATTATCTAATGAATTACCTGTACCACTTGGTAAAATGTTGTTTGAATGACACCTACATTTTTGGGAAAGCTATCTCATTTTAGAAGATACTTGATTTAAAGTTACTTAAGTTGTGACTTTCTGGGAAATGCTAACAAGTTTTATTGTTTTCATTATTGGTGGAAATAAACACCAGCGACAGCTATGGCACAGTTCCTCTCATAGCAAGGCACGTGCTTTACCATCTGTCCAATTAGAAAGTTCTCCTTTTGTATATGTTTCTTTGAGGAAGAGTCCACATCTACAAAGGACCAAAAGTTGGTCTGAACTGAAACAGTAACTTGTTGGTCAGCCTCTTCTCCATACTTCTTCCCAGGAATAAATACTGTTGTTGTTCTGCTCTCTAGCACTAGGACAAGACAAAATTCATCAGTTACGTGATGGATTTAGCTTAGCTATAAATTCTAGCCCCACACACATCTGAAATCAGTCATGATTAATGAATGTCTGTAGTGTAGCAGATATAAATTTACAGGACCCTGGCTTTTTTGTCCTTGTGTCTTACACAGACCAATTAAAAACAGCGTAGAGATTTTTGCAGCATTTGAGGGCCATAAGCTGGGGAACAAACCTAGCCTTGAATTTGCATACTTGTTTACTTCTGTCCCCTCATTTGTTAGGAGGTGGGAGATTACCAGACTGTAGAAGTTCAAGTTTATCCTTTTTATATGAACTTAAGTCTCCTATGTAACAGATGCCACCCTTGGCCAGCACAGCGCTGCAGGCTTGAATACTGGCACTTCCAGTTCCGTGTTTATCTTTGGACACAGAAGGAAAAATGTCACTGGAAGGTGGGTGTCGTATGCCACGGGGCAGAAGACATAAGCTGTAATTCAGAAGCCTGGAGGATTAAATAATTCTGTCAGTCATAAATTGTTAAATTATTAACTTCTAAAAAAACTTGATAAGTATTAAGACACACTTAAAAAAACAACAAAAAATCCTTAACATGAAACCAGCATCAAAACTAATTGTTTAAATACAAAAGGTTCATCAAGCCTGCTTTCTAATAGCTGTTGTCAAGACACTATTTCTTAAGGATTAAACATGTGGCAAATCATGGGTTGCAGAAGTGAATCCTAGGAAATCAAAGTTGTCTTGTAATGTAACCCCACATTGTTAACTCCTCTTTCTATTCTACAGAAACTTTTCCAGCGATTTAAAAGTTTAGAGGATTAGTAATTCTGGCCATCTGGGAAAAATGAAAAGGCTGGAACTTGCAAGCTCTGCCTTCCTGAGTTACACACTCCCCTCCAATTCTTTTGGAGAAAGAGGCTATAAAAAATCTTTTTCATCCCCTGTACTATGTTCCTTGGCACAGGGAGGTTGCAAATTGTCTCTCTGGTTCTACAATCAAAGGCTCTTAATGATTTTAAGATGTCAGAGTATGGTTTGCCCCACTAATATGACCTGGGAGAAAATTACTAAGTAAAATTAGTAAGAATTAGTAAATAGGTATTGCACCAATGGAAATATGTAGGAAATGCCTACTTTGACAGGCTGCTTATAGTGAATACTGTGCACATGAAAGACAGTACAAATTACAATATCAATGATGATTTACAGTGTGCAACTTTAATATTAACCAGATGTTTTGATTCTTAAAACACTGAACTGCTGTTTGTCTTATGAAATCTTAAACTGGGAGAAAAGAAATTTGCAGTTCATGTTTTTAAAAATTTGAACTAATAATTCCTACAACTAAATTTTAAAAAGGTCAAAGTTTTGGGATTTTTGCACAACAAAAAATATTAATTAATTGGTTGAATAGCTTCCAAGTGAAAATAAAATCCATGCCCCTTTCAGAGATCTTAAGTTATGAAAGGAGAAAGTAATCTTGCTTAAATTAATGTAAATCTGAGCATATTGTATTTTTCTGCAGTGTATGTAAAATTGTGTTAACAGTTTATTGTTGCATGAAATAGGTAAATACATAAAATGCATAGTGAAAAATATTGAAAGATAACAACAAGCAGATTTATGGTTATGTGTAAAGATGCATTTGAATTCTGATACCATATTTGAATGGCTTTTGTGAAAAAGAGATAAAAATGTAAGTATCTATTTATACACTGCTTAATTATTCAAAAGGCTGATAGCTGGGAATCAGTGATGAGAGAGCTTACATTGACACAAGGTTTGAAAATATGAGCTTTTTTTTTTTTTTTGTTACCAGCTTCTGGGACAGCCTTCAGTTTTGATTTTAGGAGAACGAGCTTTTATCTGAGCTCTACAAAACAGTGCTAGTGTTATATTCTTACTGTACTCTTACAAGAGTTTTAGGAGATTTTACAATTAATGAAGTTCTGATCTCGAGTTACGTGAAAGAAACAAAAATGTCCAAGGGATAAAAATTGAGTACTTAACTAAGCTGGAGCCTTGTATATTCTTTTAAAACAAAGACTCTAGCTCTTCATGTAAGACCAATCCTATAATCTTTAAAAAGACTAGATTTTAAATTCTAATTTAGGTGAAAAAAGAAAGGAATCTCTTTACCTGTCAATTACTAGCGTGTCACTTGTCATAATCAAGAGATCCAGATAATCTGCATTTTCTTTTTCACATGTCTGTACTAGACTCAGCAATATTGCAAGTTTAAGAGTATTGTAAGTGCCTGGTGGAACAACTTGAGAAGCAAAGATGTTGGCCAGGACAGCACTAAACCTCCAGCGTGAACTTGAAGTCAGTGAGAGCAGATGCTTAAAATTGTCACTGACAAAAGAAGGACCTAATGGAAACAAAGTACAGGTGAACAAACACATTAAAGAAACCTGTGCAGGTAAGTTAGAACAAATCACCATTGAATTCTTGATACAAAAGCTTACCAAGAACAAATACATCTTTATATTAAGCACAAATTCAGAATTTAAGCATCTGACACTGTTAATTTTGCTTGTAAAAAGGTAGCAGACATGATCTGTTAGAATTGATTGCAATAAGAAAGGGAAAACAAACTGAAATATCAGGTTCATTTTATATGATTACAACGTACTTTCCAATGGATAGGAGAAGATGGAAAGAGAAGTTGAAGAAATACTACATAATTAGGGAGTTTGCCAATGTATGGAAAGCGGGCAAAAGCAGATATTCTCAAATAACAGCAAGTACACATTTCAGACTGTAAGAGGAAAGTCCCTGAGTGGTTTTATATTCTGGACCTCTAGATAATAAAAAACACTGCTAATTCTCAAGATTTTTTTCTAGGAGGTTTTCCAAGGTTTAAGTCAATTTTAATGGAACTTTCTTACCATTTGGTTTATAGAGCTGTACACTATTGACTTCTATACATGCAGTCATTTGTAGGCCGTTATGTACACAAGCTGGAATTCCTATAATCCTGTAGTGGTTTCCTATTGTCATTTTATTGGCCAGTTCATCTGCAAATAATAAAAAACTAAGTGCAGGGGGGCAAAGCTACAGATATGTTAGGGCATAGAAACAGTTTTAAAGACATGGTCAGAAAACTTCTACACATTCTGAACGTTTGATTTTATGTTTTAACATTGGCAGAAAACAGCTGGAGGCCAGATTAATAATGGACTAGAATAAAATGAAACATACAATTTTAATTATTTAGTGCAAAAGATAAGGAAGGCACAGCAGGTTAGGGAAAATAAATTTCATGATAAAGAAAAATGACAATGCATTTAGTCCTGCATTGAAAAGCAAATGGATAGTTTTTTGCAAGTATATTTCCTACTCTGAAGTTTGTGGCATCACCATTATCAGTCACAATATCATTATAGGACATATGTCCTATAAAATGTCAGAGAAAAAACACAACACCATAAAAAGGAGATCCAAACTACACAGATTTCAAAAAGACCCACAAATAGCTTTGTGAACCTTTATATTTCTGTGCACCTTAAGAAACCAAATCCCATTTATTTTTTGAAAATGAGAATTAGATCCAACCAGATCTCAATCTCAGCCTGAGAAACAGTGTAAGCACACTGAGCACTAGAGCCAGCAGAAATTTACTGCATGCAACTCTCAGTATCTTGACCATAGATTGTTCTATAAATTTTTATTACAATTTTACTACTACTCATTCTTTCTATTTAGTTTTCAATAAATGAACCATATAATTCCATAGACTTTTGAAATGGATGAGGATTTTTTGTTGCTTGTCTCCGTGTTTTTTGGGGGTCTTAAGAATTAATGGAAGTACATTGCTGAGTTGTGATTTTAGTTATATATTAACATTAGAAATCATTTAATGTTTGTGGTGGATGGCAGTGGTAGTAGAAGCCAAAAATCCTGATGGAATGTGGAAAACAGCTAGATTGAGGAAGGATGTTAAATATACATGAAGTTAGTAGAGAACAGCATGACCAAAGGAAGTAGAAAGGAGGAAAAAACAGGCAACAGTTAGAATGATGCACTGCTGAGCTGGCCAGCGGATTTTAATTAAATGGAGGTGTAAAAGTAACACCAGAATTTTTCTATGTACACTCCGCAATCACCTGTGCACACTGCTTTGTCACCTAGCTATTTTTTATAATTAATTAATTCATAATTAAGGGGAGTAGCACAGAAAGAACTGCAATGTAAATAATGACTTTCACCATTTTAGAAAAAGAAAAAAAAATAGAGCTACAATTGCAAGGTATTATTATAGATCAATTCTAAAACATTTTGACAGAACTCTGAAGTTCAGCTTACCTCTCAAGAACAATGTAAATGCCTGAATCCTAAAGTGTGATTTATCAATGGAATATCCTTTCAAAGCATTCAGAATTTTAGCATCAATCATTTCAACTATTTGTTTATCTTTCAAAACAAAGGCAAAGAAAAAGGTTAATTCTATTGAAAACATCTCTTTTTAAAAGACTGGTGTATTTTAAGTGGGCTTTTTCCACTTAAGTATTTTGTTTGCTTGTTGTATAACAGAAGTAGGAAACGACCAGATCTAGAAGTAAGATTACATAGATCCTACCACCAAGTACTCTAAATTTCATGTCTTCCTGCAGTGGTGAAGAACACAAGGTACACACAAAATCAGTCCTCACTGTAGCAGACTCTGTAGCTCCAGGACAATGCACTCTGATGCACCTAAACCCTAAAATAAAAGGCAATAATTTACCAACCATTTAAAAGGAGGGCATAGCTTTAGTTTTAAATTTCCCATGAAGAACAGAAGCAATTAAAATACTGGATAGTGAAATTCTACATTTATTACTTGTTTGTTCAGATGAGCCTCCCTTACATATGCCACTAAAATAACCCATCTAATTTACTGTGTTTGGCCACGAGATGGCAGCTTCCCACTGCACATTCCCAAAATGAACAGCTTGGCAGGCCTTTCTTGAGGAGTGAGCCACTTCTGCCTGGCGTGGGAATGACATATGGATAGTCACTATGAGAGGTACGTGTCCTCGTAAAGATGTCTGTGTGACTTAAACTGCAGTCTCCAAACTTTGGGATTTTGCATCTCTTTTGTGTCTGTGCGGTCTCTTACAGAAGAAGCAAAAAAACAGCCTTAAAAGTAGTGCCTTAGGGCCTCTCTCTGCAACGGGGCAAGCAGCTCAGTAATGCTACTCCAAGCAGTCGTTCCACAGAAGCCGGCTACTCATCAAAGCACCACTTGTTCTATGCCAGAAGCTTTTGCTTGTTCTGTGGTATTTTTTTATAGACAAACAGTTTCCAAGGAAAAAGGTATGTAGCTTATTTACTTTTGAGATATTTTATTGCTATTTAAGATATTTAAGTATTAAGTTATTTAAGGTATTAAATATGTTCAAGTTCTACACGTGACTTATGTTTTCTCCTATAAACGATCTTCAGCATAAGGAAAAGGGACTGCTGGCATAGCTGTTCTTCCAAAACATTTAATAATGCTGAGCAAGTCCACTCCTTTCAATTAACACAAATCCTGCTCTGTTCATTACAAAAATGTATGCATAATAAAACTATATAGGAAAATACCTTTGTTAGGCTAGGTTTTTAATGTCTTATTACCAAATTTATTTAAAAGCTTTTGAAATACTACTGATTAATTTTTATATTTCTTACTACCTTCAGAGAATGGACAGGTTTCCTCAGTACAAAGAAATCTTGCTCCTTGTGTGTATTTTGTTACAGTTCCCATTGCAATCACTATCCCTTCAGACATATAAAATCTTTGAGATGTGTGATTAAAGGGATATGCAGAAAGACTCAGAACATAACTCGGTAAAGGTGGCAAATGTGTTGGTCTCAGCAATATACTGATCTAGCAAGAGACACGATAGCATTAATATCATAAAACCATATTTTTATTTAAAACTGCTTTACTTTTCATAGACAAACACACAATGTGATATATAACTTGAAAAATTTCAGAAACACATGAAGAGTAACTAGGTTTCATATTAATTAATCTCACAATTGCAATGTAGTAGGGTGAGACTTCCAGCTATTTTTAATCATAAATAATACTGCAACCAAAGGGAAAATGAAAACTTAATACAACAATATTTGTTAATATTTCACTATACTTAGAAGATTCAAGATCTAAATGGAGAAAACCAATGTAGACTTACCTGGGCTTCTGTCTGTAATTGTTCAATTAATGATAATGTCTTAATAGCTACAAAGCATACCTGTGATGGAAAAATAACTTCATTTAAAAAAATGAAAATCTTGTTAAAATTTACATGATGCACTTTTGTCTGCTCATCTATTATACACTTACTGACTGAAAAATCTGTGCAGCTTGTAGGGGATTATGAAGAATATAGTTTCCAAGAGTTGCATCCAATTCAGCAACGTCAGAAGGATTAATTGAAATTACGAAACGATAAACAGCATAACTTTGTTTTGAGTCTGTAAGAACAAAAGGTATTTTAAAATAATGGATTTGTTAACATAACATTATGTATCAATTCAACAGACTGTGTATTGAGTAATACCGTTGTATTTTTTGCAATCATGCACAAATTTCTGAAGGCCACCGCTTCTGTCAAGGTAGACAAGGACAACTTCCTTCATCTTCTGTATTTCAGGATCCATCTTCCAAGATCTTTGCACACTTTATCCAACTGTGGGAATAAACCATGAAGAAATGCTGGTAGCACTGGCCATGCTGTAACAGTAATAATAAAGGTACGTACTAACAAAGCCACACAAAATTAAAATAGTCTCTTTTTCATGCTAGGCAATTCTTGAAGGATTTTTAAAATTCAGTTCAAAGCTCTTTCCAATGACTGACACATACTCTATTTCTAGAGTAAATTTCTGAAGAATGCTCTAGTGTTTTCATTTCTTTGGTGAATTATTTCACTCTCCTAATTCCCTAACCCATGAAATTAAATCTGTTTAATTTAACCTCCCCTGTAGATTTTTTAATCAGTCTATCAAAATTTTGGTGAATTATTTCACTCTCCTAATTCCCTAACCCATGAAATTAAAGTCCCTGTTTAATTTAACCTCCCCTGTAGAATTTTTAATCAGTCTATCAAAAGTAATTCTTAAAATTTTATCTCCCTTATTTGAGAAGTCTGTCATAGCTGTTAAAAGTGTGAAACTGGGCAACATCCCTTTTCTTAAAATCTGACTTTCCTACCCTGCTGTGATCTCCTGTAGCACCCACTTAAGGTGCTGATCTTGCACTTACTTCCATGCATGTACACAGACCTTCAATTCTGATTCCCACTAGTAAAGCTTTTACAGCTACGGTTTTGGTTTGGTTTTTGACTGACCTTTCTCTTTAGTGTGATTTTCATTGTGTATTACTCACATATTTTTCTTTTTTTTTTTAAGAGTAGAGTCTTGTACCATGAAGCACTACTTTGCAGAATTTAGAAGGAGAATTACTAAGGCCAAAATATGGTATTTTGTATATATGCATCTGTTTCAATGTCTTTCGTATTTTCTTCTGCAAAATGTCCTTAGTTCTCTCTGTAGATGACCAATATGAAACAACACTCGAATCTTCAAAAATAAGACAGCTGCCTGGTAAAGGATAGGACAGGGAATTACTGAGCTGATGAGGGATCAAAGCTCACAGCATATGAGAGATTCCCTGTAGGAGTTCACAGAAATGACTTTGGGAGGACAAACAGATCAACATCCAAGAGAAGTAACTGGATTTCAGCACAACTTCAGTAAACTCTGTGGCCTGAGACCTGTACACTGTGGTCTGAAACGTGTATAATGCCTGAAGTAATAAATTAAAGGCACAAGTTAAAAGACAATTTATAATAGGGGTTCCCGCCCACACCCGTTTGTGTCTTTGGGATTACTGCTGAGCGATTACTATTCCATCCCTTGAAATATTCAGCAAGAACGGCTTAAAGAAATGTACACGCATAGATCCACTGTATGTCCCTGGATCCTGTTACCCGGGCTGGATACGCAGGACACCACATATGATAGGGAAGACTGAGCATTGTGCACTGAGCAGCCAGCGCCTAAGCTTCGGAAAATAAAGCCCGACCAGGGTGATGGTGTTCGCCAGTGTCCCCACAGCCAGCTGACCCCACTCCAGGTGTGACTCGGCACATCAGCATCTCCTGCCTGGCTTCAGCTTCCATGCCATCGGCACCCCTGCCTCACAGACCTCCCCACCAGTTGTTCACCAGGCTTCCTGCCCCCCGTTCTCCCCGGCGCCGCTGGGTCGGCAGCAGCGGGCACCGCGGGGCCCGGGCTGCCTGCCCTCAGCCCCGCGGGGCCGCGACGCCGCTCCTTGTTCCCGCGGCGGAGGCGAGGCCGCCCTGTACGGGGCGGCAGCGAGGGCTCGGCAGCGAGGGCTCGGCAGCGAGGGCTCGGCAGCGAGGGCTCGGCAGTGGCGGTACGGCGCTCCCGGTGCCGCCCCCTCAGCCGGCGGCGCAGGGAGAACCACGGCCCACAGGGCTCGGCCGCGCAGGGGCAGCGCCCGTGCTCAGTGCGAGGCCTCAGGAAAGGCAATTCCCAGCCCATCCCACACCCACAGCTGCCCCAACCCCGAGGCCACCGCCGGGACTGGCGCCTCGGCCCCACACAGCTACTGCCTTCACCCACGGGCAGGGCACTGGGCACGGGACATGGCTCTGTCAGTGTGCAAAGCACACACGTACTTAGAGAACCATTTTCTCTCATTAATACACATTGCATATTTAACTGTTGCCTTTAGCATGGCAGACACTTCCAAACTTAGCTCTCCAGGAGAGCACCTCTGAACTCTGTGTTGTATTTCAGTTCACATTTTTACAAGCATCGGGCTCTTCAGTCAGTCCATCTTTCCTGTGGTCTCTCGTTCCCCCCTCAGACCGAGAGATCGGAGACCACAGCAGCAGCACGGCTCCCGGGCTCCACAGCACCGGAGAAAGGCCTGCTCCTCGTGGGGGGCTTGGGCTCCCTCTCTGCAAGGGGAGCAACAATCAATCCCCTTCTGCTACAGACAGGCAGAACAAAAGCCCCTGCACTAACAAAACGGCAGATTTTGCCTTCCTCTGTTATCAAAACAGGAAAGGAGTAGCACAAGTGGTTCCTGTGCAGGTCCACCACTCTCTAGGCTTTACTGCGTCTTTCAGGTATCACTTTTCATAGCTCAGCCCTGGGTGAGGCAGCTACAACACTCCAAATGCACGTCTTACTTGGGAAACCATCCTCATGGGATGCACAGAGATGTGGAACAAGAGCATTGGGTACAGAAATACTGTGAGGCTTTACTGCCTGATGTTGTACAGTCTCTTAACCTTTAGTTCAAAGAACTTACGTACCTCAAGTGATGTGCTGAACACATTCACACTTTGCCAAAAAGGCAGACTTTGCTGAAGGAAAAAGCTTAATAAGCAATTATTAAGCTGCTCTCCCAGAAATAACTTCAACTGCCACAATATTTTTTTAAACAAAAGAACCCCTGAATTCTGACACAAAAAAGAACCCAAAAAAACCAAAACCCTTCATCCAGTCAGGCACCTAGGTATGAATGTCTTGGAATTCAAGACAAAAATTAAAAAGGGTGCTAGTTCCAACAATAATTTCTCAAGTATTCCCTGTCCTTCCCATCCCTCTACAGCACTGTACCTCCTTGCCATAAAGAGAAGGCAGTTACAGTAGCCACATAATTATACAATAATTTCAGGAGCATACACACTAAAAATTCAGTATGAGAATGGATACTTCCTTTCATACCACCTATTTGTTTCCCAGTCCATTAGCAAGCCATGTTTAAAAAAACCGAAACAACAAAAACCAAACAAAAAACCAACAAACCAAACAAATCAAATCACTAAACCCCAAAAACCAAAAATACTGACAACCTCCTCCCACTACCCCCAACTTAAAAACCCCAGGGCTGTTACTTCCAAATTATTTTAATGCCAAGGAAACTATTCATGTAGTTATTGGTTGTCCTGAACAGCTTTTTTCAACCCTTGCAGAAAAGAACTATAGAAAATGAGTGCCAAGCCACCATTCTGCTCCCACAAATGATACAGTTCCCTCCTTCCTCCGCTGCCAATGTCAATTCTTACTTTTTAGCCAATCACTCCTTCCAAAACCTCATGTAGCAACTGCTAAGCATCACTTAACCGCTATGCAGGAGACTGTGCTCTAGGAGATGCTCCTTGAGATAAGCAAGGAATCCTGTTTAACTTTTGTAATGTATTGATGTAACATTTATTTCAAAATAATTATGATTTGATACACCCTCTCCCCCTAGGTTCTCAATTCTTATCAGATCTTGACACAGTATATTTATTTTAGCTGCTTATTTTGCAAAAAACACCAATGTGACTTAGATACTGAAATTTATGTAATATTCATTCAATTTATGTATCATTGTGATGTATCAGTACCTTACCAGACTTCTCTCAAATCAAGGCATTTAACTGAATCTATTTGTGAACAAAAAACACTGAACATTTTTGGAGTAACAGACAAAAATAAGTTGTTATTTACAAGTAATATATATAATAAAACTACTACCATTATATGCCTTTTATACACTGTAACTGCAGTCAATTTTTGCATTATTTAAAAAAAATTTCCTTAAACAGAAATTGTTCAGAATTATGTTTGTCCATACAAGTGTATGTTAGGAGAAATACAATAGCTTTTCACATTTTTAAAAATCATCAGTGTAATTTACATTTTCCCCCCAATATCAAGTGAATATTTTAAAATGGTGCAAACTGAAACACAAAGACAAGTAGCTATGAGCATTGAAATACAATCAATTTGGAACATAAAAGTGTTTTAAACTACCAATCTGTGAGAAAAATCCCTAATATTTGGCATGATCATCTCACCACCCACCCCCAAAATGTCAAAGCTAACTGACTTACTTTTAAAGTAACCATGATTATTGCATATTAGATCTTTGGAGAAGCAGAGCTTTAACCAAAAATATTTTTAATGTAGTTGAAGTATAGACATACTTAGCTCAGGGAAGAAAGAAAAGTAGAACACGTAATAAGTAATGTTATCAAATCAATCCAGTTAATTTGTTCTGTCCTTGCTTTGAGTAATCGCCCATACCTCAGATAATCCAGTTGAGTCAATAGGTACACTTCAGCAAGTACAAGAGCAACAATCCAGTTTTATGTGACCAAGTTTTTGTTCTGCAGAAGTCCTTTAAGAATCTTGGTCCTCAACATGTATCATTTAAGTGCTGACAGGTAAATTAACACATACTCCAAACTGGTAACAGGGAAAACATTTAACTTTTTTTAAACCAGGATATACAAAAGACAATTTGCATAGTTACAATTCAAGCACAAAGTCACTGTAAATAAGTACAAAAGCATTTATAAATTTACTAAATTTGCTGCTGTTTGTGCCAGCCAAATTAGATAGGTATGAATGTAAACTCAAAGGGATTGAGGAGAACAGTCAGTGTTTTTGCTTAAAAAATACATAGAGAATGCTTTTTAAAGGTTTTAAAAAATATTTTCTGCAGCAGGAACAAACAGTTCAAACCCCAAAGAAAGCCATCCAAAATGCCCAAATTCTTCCTATACAGCAGAGAAAGTTTGTTCATAGGTTTCAAACCTACATACAAGACGAGGCACTATTTACGCTATTTTGGAATGTGTCCATAACCCTAACATTTCAGTTCAACCCAAGACTTCCAAACCACTCTTGGCTTCTAAGTCCCTAGGAAAACCCATCTTCAGAGGGTGGTGCGTAAGAAAATCCCACAAATGCATCATCTGCCTCTAGGACACTGGCATTAACAATGTTGTAGTCAGAAGAAACACAAACTGAGTATGGAACCATTTCTTCTGTGAACACTGCATCAAAATTCCCAATATCGTCTGGTCCAACCTAGAAAACAGAAAGATCTGTCAGTCATCAAATTAATACAGTGTTTTAAACTTGTGCTTGTCCTAGAGATTCCAAATTTAACTCTCAAGGCTATCTATTTTCTTGTTATATTCTATTTAAGCAAAGAAATTTAAGGAGGCACATCACTCCATCTCTGAAAATAGGTATTAAAAGGCTGGGTTTTTTTAATTGAGGTTGGAGTTTTGACCAAATCCTACATTCTTAATGATCCAGTAAACCTAAAAAATATGAAAAAAGTCTCTCTTAGGGAGATTAGCTCAGGTGGTTAGAGCATGGTGCTAGGAGCACCAAGTTTATGGATCCAGTCCCCATATGGGGCATTCGCTTAAAAGCTGGTCTTGATGATCCTTGTGGGTCCCTTTCAACTCAGAATATTCCGTGATGTGTGATCTGAGATGCAAACTCTAACACCATCGCCACTCCCCAGGCACCTACCACATTAGGATTAAATGGTGGCGGAATCTTCTTCTGAAGAAGATCAGTCCAGCTGAGAGATTCGAAGAACGGGTGCTTTTGGATTTCAAGCTGTAGCAAACAATAAAGATTTTAGATATTTCATAACTCCATCCTGTGCATCGTAGTAAACATTACTGCATACTACATGTACACAGAGAAGTTCTTATGTGCATGTCCTTATCAGTTTGTTTATTCACAATTTACTTTGCAATAAAAGTTGTAGTCAGTAAAAACAACAATTAAAATTTGTGAGACTGCCTCTAAAAATGGTTTTCCTTCTAAAATCATGCTTTCTGCTTTTAAGCCCTAAAATCAACAGACCGGAAGTCTACCCCAGAGCAAGAATGTCTTCTGTTAATATCTGTTCCTGCCTTAAAGTTTTGTTAGTTTTTGTAAAGCATATCACTGTCTGAGAAGCAGCTTCTTCAACAGCTCTGCAATATACTTACTATTCAAGAAGCAGCAAACAGCTATGCTAAATCTTTGCATCTTGCTCAGTTACAAGGTCCACAGACTAACATAAGGACTGCAAAGCAAAGACTACAAAGATCCCACCCCTACTGGATGGAGTACATCCGCTAGATCATTCCTCATCGCACAGTTCTGAAGACACCTGTAACCTTCTCACATCAACTTTTTGTGAACATAAGTTTTGTTGCTACACTGGAAAAATGTCTGCCATAATTTTAAGGCTAAAAAAAAGCTGCCTGTTTGCATGGAACTAGTGTTCCTCTTTACCTGAAGACTGGTTTCCAAATCATTAGTATTACCACATGACAGCCTTTTCTTTTGATTATTTCCCAGTTTCACTATGAATGGTGAAACCTACTTCTGTGCACCTTAGTGACTGCTACACCAGCAAGTGTTTTTCCTTTGCTGGCAGGTACAACAGCAACCAAGCTCAAAATACCCCACACAACAATCATTGCTTTCTTATCCCCAGGAACTTCCAGGGATAGACCCCACTGATGTCTTCACTGAAGAAATAAAAAAGAGGAAAATGGAGACAGATGCAGGAATGCAGTTCTATCTCCAACTATGAATCCTGTGCTGTGCACATTAAGTTGGTGAGTCCCTGGTGAAATAGGACTTGATAAATTAGGACATCACTTACAAAGTCCTCCTTTGCTCCAAGTCTGCTTTGCCTATCTTTCTCCAAAAGTTCTTCCAGGATAGACCAGGCTGTAAGACTGATTCCTGGGCGCAAAACCAGGGGCTTATGAAGAATATTATCGTACATCTCAGCAACATCACGGCAGTAAAAAGGAGGCTAAAAAATAAAAGTTCTACATGAATTTGAAGCCACATGCAATGTTGTTTCATATGTTATGTATGATCAGTAAATGATTCTGTAAGACATGCAAGACTGCTAGCAGTGAAGCAGAAAACTCCTTTTTATGCACTGCTAATTTCTAATTCAGTCATCACCACTGCCAGAACTTTACACTTGATAACTTCCCACCACCCGCCTCCTCTACTCCTATTAGTGTTCTCACACTAATAAGTAGCCATAGATGCCATCCAGCTTCAAAGCTCCCACTGAACTTGCCTGAAAAGAACCTGATAATGGGAAAACAAATCCATCTCCCTATTTAAGGTCCTACAGGAAGAGACAGAACTCAAGAAAACCAGAAGAACAGATTCTTACTGGAGTAATTACATATGACTAGAAGAAGCATAACAAGATTTTTTTGTTCTAGTGCTGTCAAAAGCTAGGAGAAAACCTGGGATACCTAAGTTAAAAAAAAAAAAAGTATTTTTCATTTGATTTATTGCAATATTTGACAAAATTTTACTTATAAGCCGTTTTAGTTTTTTTTCTGTATTATCACTGTTGATTCAGGACTCTCACAGTCCCTCAAAATGATGACTACTGATTTTGCTGATTTCTCAGATTTTGCTTTTCCATGAACTGTCAGATACCAGGAGGCAATGCAAAATCCAAAAGAGAAAAACAAGTGCTATGTAAGTACAAGACAATCTGTTAATCTGCTTAAATGGAGTATTCCAATATTATAAAAAAGTTAACATCTTTAACAACACTCACAGTTTACTTCAAATAAAAGGGAAGAGGGGAGGAAAACAAACTTTACATATCAGGTACATACCAGCCCATAAAGCATTTCATAAAGAACTGCACCAAGGCACCACCAGTCTACTGTGTTGTCATAGGGCTGCTTTTTAATGACTTCTGGTGCAAGATACTGAAATGAACAAAAAAAAAGTTCTTTAGAGAATGAGGCTAGCTAGCATGGATAAAACCTAGGGTTTAGTCACTTCACAGGAAACACTTTCAAGAAAAGTTGCTTTGTAAGAATCAAATGTTTCAGCTAAACACTACACCTCACCCATCTTTCACTACATTCAAAGGTCTTTCCTGTAATTTAAAGTATGTTTATCAAATTACCAAAGTTTCTAATCTTCTGTGGTGAATCCCTCATATGTGTTCAAGCCTTCCACATTCTATGTTTTCCAGTGCAGTTTTCCCAGTAAAAAGACAACAGAGTTCAATAACTCAGTCAGCAAGTTCAAAGTTTTGTGCATATGCAATGGTTTGACTGAGGCACAGGTATTAATTCCCTATAAACTTACTAAGAATCAATGGCAGGATATGGTAGAATAGATCCACACTGAAAAATCTGTAGCAGCTGTTACATAAGCTAAGTGTCCTGTGTCTACCCAGCAGTTAGGAGAAAACAGTATTTCAAAAAGGCTGGAAAAACAGAGGAAGGAAGAGATGAGTTATGGCCATGTGGTTAGCAAGCAGTAGACACTGCATATTAGGAAGAAGAACAATGAATAGATGTGTAGGGAGCTTGTCTTTGGGTTGGTTTCATCTTGTTTAAAGAATGCAAACCTCCCAGGAGTACAAAAGACAGTATCTGACCTTCCAGTTACACAAAAATTAATAGCGCTCAACAGTCATTAATTAATGATAAAAAGCTCATGAAAGCTGTCAACATACTTCTGGGGTCCCACAGAAAGTTGCAGTGGTATCAGAAGTTGCAATCCCTTCTTTACAAAGTCCAAAGTCTGTCAAGACAACATGACCCTGTTTAAGAAAGAGTGATAAGTTAAAAAGAGACCATGCTCAACATGTGAATACACAGAAGTGTCAATTTTGTGAGAGAACACAGAAAACAGAAATAATCTTGCATACTTACTAGTGAATCTAGGAGAATGTTTTCTGGTTTTAAATCCCTATTAAAAAAGAAAAGGTAGTAAATCAAAACAGCAGTCACAAGTGCTTCAGAGGCAAGGGGTTTTATTATTCTTCAGCTGAAAGCTTCAAGTTTTGATGAAAGTGTTATGTTCAGGTTTCCTGTAAGATGATTTCTTTATTCGGTTTTTTTATTCGGTAATTTGCCCTATTTTGATTTTCTGCAGGACACGTATACCTTTCAGAAACTTACCTGTAGACTATATTTATGGAGTGTAAGTAGCCCAGTGCACTGGCTATTTCAGCAGCATAAAATCTGGCTCTGTGCTCAGGAAAGGAACGTTCTCTTTGTAAGTGAAAGAACAGCTGTAAATATGCAAATAGGAAATAAAAACGTTACACAGACAAAACAAGTCAGGTTAATAACATGTAATTTTACAGTGAAGAGTAACTTATTTTGCTGTCCACTTTTTTTTTTTTTTTTTAAAAGCACCATGAAATAGAATTGTTTTTTCTGCATGACATAGTCATTTGTTTGTTTGTTTTTGGTTTTTTTTGTTTTTGTTGTTTTTGTTTGTTTGTTTGTTTTTTGGTTTTTGTTTTTGTTTTAAACCACCATGAAATAGAATTGTTTTTTCTGCATGACATAGTCATTACTTTACTCTCTTCCCTGCTTCTTTTTTGTGTCTCAGATGGATAGGTAACTCAAACACGTTCCCTTAAAACCAGGACTAGTCAAAAGCAGCTAGAGTAAATCACTAAGCTGGGAATGGAAGCTGGTAAAACTAAATCATGCAAGATTGCCACCAAGGAGAATATATAACCTGGTGTCAAATAAGTCATCTTTCATGTCTGAAAATGTGTGTATTCAAAGATTTGCATAATTATTTATAGAATTGTATTCTGAAATAACCTAGATGTAGATCACTGTGTGAGATGTATATTCCAAGATGATCCACCAGTTGTCTCTACTACAGGGAATTGTCTGACTGCAAATAATTTGTGCAGATACAGAAGTCTAGACAAAGATTAAATCACAAACATACAGATTCAACTATAGTACACACTCACTTGTAAAGATTTTAAGAAAAATGAAATTTTCTGGTTTCTGCCTACAAAATTCAGGAAAAACAAAAAGCCACCCCAGCTTTCCAAGCTTTCCATTCAAATTTGAAAGCTGCTTTGAACTGTATTTTAGTTTGCCTGAAACAATGCAAAACTAAGTTCTGACCACAGTTCAGAGCAAACCAGGATTTTGAAAATACAGTCTAAGTAAGGTACATTAGACAAGAGAAATGCCCATCTTGTTCTAACTCTGACACAATATAATAAATTCAGCTGTCAGTTTCCTTTCTTTCCCTTTTGAAATATCAGCATCTCAGTTAATGCACATGCAAGAGGAAGCCAGTGTTCCATGGTGAAAAATGTAAACATAAGATTAATTTGTAATTAAAGAAATTTTATATAACTCTAAAATACAGTATTTGTATCTGACAAGCATGAATAAATTTCGACTGAAGTTGTCAATAAGAACAGGAACAAGGTCCAAACAGACACAGAGGTCTATAGCAACAGCAGATAATAACACAATTTTCAAAAATGGGAGAATGTGGATCACAGCCCATTGTAAAGGATCACTTCACTCCTCCCACCTAGAATTAGCCGAATAGACAGACTACAATGCAAACAAAACCACCACATACCTCTCCTCCATTAACAAAATCCAGGACAAAGTAAAGCTTTTCTGTTGTTTGGAATGAGTAATGTAGTCCAACCAAAAATGGATGTTTCACATTTTTCAAAAGCACATTACGTTCAGCCATAATATGTTTTTGCTGCAAGAAGTAAAAGATCAATAAGTAAACAGGAATGATTTTGTAATTAAGGAAAAAACAAGGGAGGTGGGTGGAAAAAAGACTATTTCTCTTAACCTCTTTCCTATTGAGAACAATTTTTTTCTGCAACACTTTGACAGCATAGTATTTCCCATCCAGTTTTCGTTTTGCAAGAAGAACCTGTGCAATTCAAAAGAAAAGGAAGAAATCTGATTATTGCAGTTCACATACTATGGATAATATTTTATCGTTTTGGCCTAACTGGAAGGGGTTCATGCTATTTTTTTCACAATACAGTTTCTTTGTTTTTCATACAGTCAGTCAACAATGTAACTGCCAAGAGAGTGAGCTTACAGTTCAGTAAAAACTTATCCAACAGTGGTATCATGAAAGACTGAATTATAACATTTGTTTTCCATGACCTGCTAAATCTCTATCAAGATTAATTTCAGCTTTTTTTGAGGATAAATTGTAAAGATAATTGAATGAAAAATAACAACACGAAGAAGGATTCTCCTTGGCATCTTTGTAAAATATCAATACTTAAGTCTCACAAAACAAGAGGAAAAGCACGATTTGTACTGCAGCTGCTGCACAAGCATAGGGGTACCTCCCTTCCTCCCTAGGGGAAACAGAGGATCCCAACTGCATGGAACGAGAAAGGGAAAATCTCCCTTTTGTTAGTCCCAACAAGTGGCTGAGGCAGCCAACAGCAGCAGCAGGGAAAAAAACGGCAGGGCCACAAATCAGCAGCAATGAGGATCCAACAGAACAGTTTATGGGCCACCCCAGTGCAACACCACTTCTGGAACCTCTGGCCAAGTCTCCAGTCACTGTGTGCGAGAAACCAGCGAGCACCCTTGCACCACCATAAGACACAGGAATAAAAGCTCACCTTGCCAAAGCTGCCTTTCCCAATAACTTTCAGGAAATCAAAGTCTGTTGGTTTAGCACTGAAAGATATTTATGAAAGAGACAGGTCATCTGGGCAGAAATTACAAGCCTTATAGCTGTACACCAGTGTACTGTAGCACCCTCCTTTTCTTTGTTCCACCCAGCACTGCTTCTGCAGACCTGTCCTCAGACACAACTCCTCTTCATTTTGCAATTCCATTTTCCTCTAGGGAAAGTGTTCAAGTTGCATCCTCTGAGTTTATTTTATTTACTAAGTTTAACCTTATGATGTAAAGGAGAAGCAAGACCATTGTTTCATTCTCCATGGTCGATTTTTTGGTAATTTGTAAGTCTCCATTTCCCCATGACGTCTACTGGAGCTCATTTCCAGCAGTCCAAATGGATTCTAAAGCTTACATAAGGAAAGGAAGGACCAAATTTGTTATCTATTCCCTCTTATTTGTTCCATTCTTCCCTCCATCCAATCCTCCCTTGTTTTAAATTTCAGTAAGAGGAAGGAGGTCCTAACACCTGCCTCTTCTTGGTGTTTGCATGAATTCACTCTCAGTTTTTCCATCTCCCACATCACCACTCCTTTCAGTTTTTCCCAGGATTCCCTTACTCTTTCCTGAATACAATTCTGTCAGCAAAACAATTATCCGTATTTTCAAACTGCAAAACAAGTTACATCACCATACACCTCTCTATTTATTGCCCCTGAAGGGAAGGACTCTTGTATTTAATTTCTTACTGCAATCTATTAACCACTTCCTTCTGCTAGCTCAGAAAAAATCTGTGAGTAAAGCAAAACCAAAATAGCAGTCCTCTCCTAGAGGAGAAAAGCAGATTCACACAGAACTGAGAACAGAAACTCTGCAGAAGACACCAAACAGAGACACAAGTTACCACTGCAGCAACTGGGTTGTAGCACCAACAAGGCAAGCTACTCCTCTGGCATGCAATAAACCAAACTTGTTTTCAGAAACTGTGGGATCACTCCCCAGGTCAGTCTAACTTTTCAGGCTTTAAAATTAATTTAAATCCCATTTAATTAAGTTTTAAATTTACATTAAATTGAATTACATGAAATTCAATTTAATTGGAACCTACTGAGGATTTCCAGATGGTCCCAGGTTGATATTCTGTGAGGTAGAGTTTAACTGTTGGGAGAAACAGAGAGGTTTACTTGTAATACTTTTTCTTCTCTCTTATCTTTCAACCAATACTAATTTCAAAATACTCTACTGATCTGCTCAATCCATACTTTTACACTTGTTACATTAGAGTTTTAAAGAGATCTAACATCTAGATTGGGAACTGAAATACCTGGCCATCATCACCTTGTCACAAATTCTTTCTACACACATCCTGTTCCAAGATGAAGGTAATAAAATATCTGTGTTCATTCAGAGAGGAAAAGATCAGAAATAAAAACCAAAGAGTATTTCAACAAACAACTTGTTCCTCATTCAGAACTTAACCCTTTCTGTGCTTGCTTCATGAACATATTTTCTACCTTTTATTCCCAATTCTTCAAGATCTTACTAATACAATAATTTTAAAACCACACTGTTTATATAAGAGTAATTAATGAAAGACACAGTGCTTTTAAAAACATGGAAGTGAACATTCTTCTAACCCCAAGAAAAACATTACCAACCTTTTCTATCCTGACATTAAAGGTTAAACAACTCAATTCCTGGAATTCCATGAATCTTACTGGTACACACCCAGGCAGAATTTGTAAATTACGGGGAGCAGAGGAAGCCACTGTCATTTAGATGATTTTTTCAATTTTATTTTTGATTTAGAAAAGCGGTATTTGTACTCTCATTGTGATTCTGGAATTTATTAGAGAAGAATAAACTGCACTCAAATACAAGTTACCGGGGGACAGGCTGCCGGGCAGCACAAAGCAGTACTCCAGAAGTGGAAAATGGTCTGACAGCAGCAGCAGCACTGGATGCCACTACTCACTGAAATGAGCCAGTGGTGCTGGACAGTTTTGAAAGAGCTACTGTAAAAAAAGAAAAGTTTTTTGTTTGTTTGTTTGGTTTTTTTTTTGTTTTGTTTTGTTTTGTTTTGTTTCTTGTTGTTTGGTTTCATCATTTACAGCAACCATAAGGTGAGTTTTCCACCAAAAATATGGGGACCAGGCCATTATGCAGTAGCTCTGTTTTTGGAATTTGTTGTGGTATGACACATCATTAATTTTCCGGAGATGGTTTATATCATTCCACATTACTTAAAATACCTTTCAAAGGAGGAGGAAACCGGTATCTTAAACTAGTGACTTTAAAATGAAACTTTCAGAACACATTAAATCTCCCATGGATCACACACAGACTGAAACAACTCTTACATCTTTAAGAAGCACTGAATAAGAAAAGAAGTACTAATATCACATCTTTATGCCAAATAGTAAGTAATAGAGAAGACAAGCTTAATATGGCACTTCTACCTTCCTAGAAATACTCCTTTTCTCAAACAGCACTGTTTCTGAAGGCTGCAAACTATTTTCAGAGAATACATCCAGCTATATAGTAGCTTTTTCGACAAAAGAAACTTCAGACCTCACACAGTGTTATATGTGAAATGAAATCAAATCCATCTTTCCTCCTAAGTGAATTTTAGAAAGACTGCATTTTTTCCCCTGAGAGAATTCTATTTCTCCCCATCTTTAAAAAAGAAGAATGCACAAGCAAACAAAAAGACAATTAAACATTCAATCTCCCCTGCTCCTTGCCAGATGTTCTTAGAAAGAGCTTTTGAACACACTGCAAAAACTCTGGCAGCTAAGCTATGACTAAAGTTTTGTTTCTTTAACCCATACCCATACAGCAAGGGGGGAAATAAGCAAGGCAAAGCCAGCAATCACTTTTACTCCTCTCTGCAGTTCACACCTGACAGAAAAATAGCTTACAGCCCACAGTGGAACTGTGTTGTTCAAAAGAACAGGGAGGGGATTTATTGCAAAATGTACCAGTAGTTTTCAGTAAATAATATACCTATGAAGATTGCCCTCAAGTAGCTAAAACTTAGAAGACTGTTCTACTTCTGTTTTATTACCTTCCGACTGCTCCTTTCATCTTCATCTTCAGATGGATCTAACTGGTGTTTTGGGTTATCCATCTGAAGAAATGCTCTGACATCTGGGCTAGAAACACAGTTAACTTCATTAGCACACCAATAATCTGCATGATTTTCAGCCATAAACAAAGAGCATAGGACTGAACAGCAGTATACAGAGGAGTTACTTATCACAAAGTTTTATATTTAAGTTCTGGTAATTAAGAACTGTGTACAAGCAATACTTTATTTTACAGCAACATAATTCAACAGCCAAGTGTGTTATACAGCACAAACTTTTCACTTGCAAAAACCTGACATGTTAAAGTATATGTATATGAAGACTTCAGAAGGAAGCCCTGCAGAACTGCATTTAAAGATAATTATCAGAAGAAAGCATGAATTCTAACTGGCTAGCAGCCACCAAAAATCCAACTTTCTTCCCAAAAATGGAAGAGTTAAAATTTTTGTTTTCTAAAATTAATTGAATTGTCCAATACAATAGGGAATAAAATACATCATCTGTATGCGAAGAGAAGACACGTGTTCCAAGAGATACACAGCAGTAATGTTCCTCTCCCCATTCACTTTAAAGCAGAAGATAAGTGATCTTGTAATCAGAATTCCTTCTGATTACAAGACACTATCAAAAGAGTGTTAATAAATCCTTTCATTCAGCTGCAGGACACAAATGCTTCAGGAATTAGCAACAGGCTTCCCACAGTACCTAAGGAGATGCATTTTATCTTCAACAGCAGTTTCAAGCTCTGTCTTGGTGGGGCTGGGGAAAAAGGACTGAGAGAAAGGTGGGAAAGTAAGAGAATTCCAAGAATTTCTTCTTACAGGAAGAAAGGCTTGTCCAACAGATCAAAAGAATGTAACATCTTTCTGAACCACAGCACAGTGCAAGTAAAGGATAATGTAATACAAATGAGGAAAAATGAATTCCTAAAAAGATGGGTATTGTCTATATCCTGTATAAACCACTTCAAGAGATGATCTGAATCAGTTCCTTCAGTTCACTAAAAGGCTTTCCTACATTTCAGAGACAAAGTTGTTTGAGAAGGACTCAGGGCAGTCACTGATAGGAAACTTGACAAGAGCCATTCAGTACAAGAAAAGCACTAGCTTACTGTGGAGCTGCTCTTTTAATCTGTCCCTAGAATATATAAAATAGGGTAATTTTAAGTAAGAAACAAATGTACTCCCTATTTTCAATCCATTCACCTTCCACATCTCTGACCAGTGAGGATCAGAAGTAAGAGATGAGCTGTTTCTGACACTTCTCCAGCTCCTGTAATTTCCTGTCAGCACTACTGAGCCTACCTCATATCCTAGGCTATCTGAGATTCCCAGTCTTCATCACTTACATTCTGTATTCCTAAGTCCTATTTGAAATACATTTCAGTTACCTTCAGCCTTTCAGGTTTAAAGCACAGCAACAATACTGTTCACATAATTTCCCACCATTATTTCAGTTTAATACTTCCCATTTTATATGAACTCCAAATTCTGATCTATTTCAGCATCTGTCTTGTATCCTGAGGCCAGGAAGACAAAAATCACAGTGGTTTGAATATTGTAGTAATACTGCTTAATGATGCAACAATTTAAGTTTCAGAACGTTTGGATATCATAAAATCAAGAATAAAAAGTTATGGTTAATGCTTTTCACTAGACAGAAAAAAAGAAACAGAACTTAATTACTTTCAGCATTATTTATTCTGGACAACTGGCTGATTAAACAGAGCATGTTGTAATACATTTCAAATAGTTACTATAGTAACTTTGTTCATGACTGAATTCACAGCAGGAAAAACATAAAAATATCAATTCACAGGAAAAGGCTGCTGTACAGTTGCAGGGTATCCCACACTCCACAATCACCAGGATCGTAACTGACTGATGTTACACTGTTCACATTTGCAATTTTAAAAGCACTGCAAAGAACTACTGACTAAAAATAAAAAGTTTTATGTACCAATTTCTTAGGCAAGATTGCAGCATGTTATGCAAAATGCTCTACAGATTGATATGACTTCTATGCTGTATTAACTCACATGGATTAACTCAATGTATTTAAGAATACACGGAAACTATTCCTAAAATAACCTCACCTATGAAATTAAAAGGGTTGAGAAAACCACTTAAAAAGGGATACTCAGTATACATTGTACATATACTACCAGCAAAAGTTGGGTTTGTCTGTATTTTTATGATTGACTGAATAAATTTATTTTGTGGATTATCTCTGAAATACACAAAAGAGTGTCAAGCTCTGCTTAATACTGTTGCTTATGTAATAGTCATTCTGCATTAGTCTTTCTGCAAAAAACAATATAATAGCACATAAAAATTTTGGATGCACAGAGAAATATGAACAAACCCAAAAGGTCACACAAATTTTGAATCAAAATGGTAAAATTAATAGCCAGTGACAGAAACTTAACATTTAAGACACGCTTTATTTAAATAATAGTGTCCAGCTCCTCCCTCTTCTTACCACATTTTCTTAAAAAGTAAACCACTAATAGCTTTCTTACAGAAAGCAAAGGTTCAAAAAGCCCTAATACAGTAAAGCACAGTAACACTTTAAAAGAGGACAATAATATAGTGCAAGGTTTGCTTTCCCCAGCATGAACTGCAAGATTCTACAATTCAGGGGTTTCACATTCACTTTTATATTCATCAGATTTTGAAATCAGAAAAACCTGTGACTGATTTTCTTCTAAGGAACACATTCAAACCCTGCCTCTCACTTAGAGAATGGATAACTCATTTCCCTGCAGGTTGCAGAGTATTGTCATCCTTGAATTCTTCAAGTGTTATGCAAATGTTCTCATTCTCATTAAGGAGCTACTTTGGACTATTTAAAAATAACTGCATTACATCTTTAATGCATCCTCTATTATACAGTTTTTCAAACAGGTTTTCTTTGGACATGTTCTGACAGACAGCCATTAAATGCATTAATACTTCAGTGAAGGCCTACATCTGAGGGGGCGAGCAGCCCACTTTCAGGAGTTGTGTGGTGTTTTAGGGAGGCTCACAGGAACAAAGTCCCCGCTCCTATTAAGGACAGCAGTCAGCAAGAGGGACACATTATCAGACCTTTATCCCTTCTGCCCTATCTACCCCTATCTTTTCTTGGAATACCTGCATTCTACCTGTGAGAGCAAGCTGTTTATCACAGTAAGGTTGCTGGGGAAATGCAGCTTGAAGCTCGTCCACCTAACTCACAATTTGGACTAAGCCAGTGATCTCATCCTCTATTCCACTTGACAGTGACTGCAGGAAAAACTGTCACAGGGTCTCTCTCTAAGCACTCCAATACACCTTAGGTTCTTCTTGGATTTTTCATTGAGCAAAAAGGTCTGGCTTTGATACAATAGTCAAGAAATGTGCCAGACTCAAGAAAAAACATCCACTTTTGGAAATGGAAAATAAGAACACAGTGCTGCATGCTTCAAATAATAATGTAAATATTACCATCTTGGACACACTGAATCTGACAGTTGTGCTTTTCACTTCAGATGTTCAGGTGCCTTACCTTGAATCATCCTTAAGCTTTTATTGAAACAATTCTCCTACGCAGGACTTAAAATATATGACATGCTGATATTGGTTTTAATGCTTAAAAGATGCAGTGGAAAGTGGATTTCTTCCAAATGGTTCTGTGAGAATACACAACCCACTAAGTCTTCCTTGCACATCACTAACTTTACATAAGTTTTTTGACCTAGTTTCAAATTTAATTAGCACATCAAAGCAAAACTAAGAAAGTAAGGATGGACTATCTCTGAAGACTCAGTCACCAGATATCCCTTGAGTAGCTTCCATCAGATTTTACAAAAAATTCCAAGCACCAAGATCAAAGATTTGGTATTTTTTCTATAACAACATTCACTGGCACAACAGAAAAGGTGACAGATTACATAATTATTAATATGATTTGTTGCAATGCAACACTGCAAAAAGGAAAAGCTAACTTCAGAAAAACAATCACTTTGCCGTGATTAAAAGAGAAACAACACAGAAATTACAACACAATTAAATGCTTTTGCACTAAACTGTGGATTAAATGCCTTTTCCCCTGCTTAATTCAATATTTCTTTAAGGGTGGGGTATAGGAGAACAGAGGAGAACAGATTGTCTTGTAAGACAAACTTTGGTCTACATTTATTGTTTTTATTGTAGAACTCTGTTTAATAAGCTTATTATTGAACACACTTTCATCAGCACCAAACACTATCAGGCCTATGTCTTAACCCTGGTTTAAGTCAGTTTAAAGGATCAGGAAAGCTAAGTGCCATATTAAAGAACATTGGTTTTTCTACAGTTACATTCCAACACAAAACAATTTTAAAAGCCCACAAAAATTTAAGGAGGCAGGTAGATTTGAGGTTTGATGAATTTTTTTTTTTTTTAAGCACACCACTTTATGCTGTCCAAAGCAAAAAAAAAAAAAAAAGCACAATTTTACCTCTGGAGAACAAATATTGTATGTTTTGAAAAAAAAATATTTGGTAATTGGATATGCTGAGAACCAGAGGAGGAAATTGGCCTAAATAAACCAGTATCCTTTCCCAATGAAACGAAATAGATTGGTTTTCAGAAATTTGTTATATTAAAGTGTTTTTTATTACTTCCCAAAGAATAGTGCCATGAACACAAATCTCATAGTATTTGTTCTGGTGGAAATGTATCCTTCCGTAAAGACTTTGTTACTAATTTTTTTTTCACTCATCAAAAGAAGTATATATAAAATGCTCCTATTTTTATTTTTCTAGAAAGGGAAGGAAGTATTTCTTATATTTCAGGTTGATAGGACATTAAATAATTCATTTGTTGTGAAAAATCTGACTGCATGCTGCGAACTGCAGCGATATTCTGTTAAGAGTTACTTTTTTCCTCTGGGAAATGGGCAATTTCACAGGCTGTACAAATAGGCTAATTAAACAAAACATTTTCATTAAAGACATTTACTCAACACTAAAGGTAAGCATAGAGCTTTACCGTTTTACCAGTTCAAGCAACCTAGAAAGCTGCATGGATTTAGTTGAAACTGATTACAGCTTTGGACTGAAAGAAGGTGCCTGTTTGCCCTGCAGTGAGCTCACAAAGTGCTGCTCTCCAGATTTAACTGGAGCTGACTCTGTCCTAACACCACCTCCCATTCGCCACTGGTAGTGGTGAACACACCTGCAGTTCTGCAGGGAAGAGTTTAGGTACAAACTTATCCATCATTTCCTTTAGGCAGCTCAGCTTGGTTATCCCAAACCATCTCAGCAAGCCAATGAAGCCACTTGGTTACCGTGCTTTAAAGAAGTTCTGGAGCACACATGAACTGCTCTTAACAAAAAAAGGATGCAGGCAGTGACTGACTGCCAGCCACACAGCAGCAAGTGACAGCAGGGCCCTCAAACAGTACAGCCACTGGCAAAACAAACACCTGCCCAGCACAGCAACAGTTTACTCTGCACCCCTGGAATAAAGATCAGTTAATTGCCTGCAAATTGATTTGTAGGTTGGTTTTCAGAAAACAAAAACACTTCTATACTCTTCAGTCTGTAGATTTTTCTTGAATGGATGGCCATATAAAGTTGGTTTTTTTTCTACTGAAGAGCTCTGAACAGGTAAAATACATTTTCTGGTTAAATACCTAATTTGCAATTTTGTATTTAACATATCTTTTCATCTCATGTCTTTTCAACAGCCCTTATAAAACAGAAATGAAACTACTTACTGGTTGCATAGCTCTGGCTGTCTAACTAAATTTTGAATGAATTCATTCAGTCCTGCTCTTCTCTGTTTAATAAAATCTGGAAAAAACAGATTTATTAGAATCATCAGTCAGCTTGTGAAAAAGACTTATTTTCTTATTCAGGTTTTTTAGGATTTAAAACAGTAGTTAAAAGGAGACTGGCCCATGACTGATTTAGAACAAGATTGGCTCTATATATGACAACTGCAAGCTTTAAACATTGAACTGAGCTGAGAGAATAAATTTCAGTGCCTCTGTAACACTACTTAAAAATGTTGAAAGCCAGGTGGATTAGAAGAGCCACCCTGTCCTTCAAGAACAGTGTGTAACCACAGGGGGCTAACCTGCACAACCTTCGCTGCACGGGTGAGCCCCTCAGCACCTGATTCCACAGAAACAAAAACCCCAAGAAGCCACAGGCAAAACCTGACATCAGTTGCACAAGTCAAGTTTTTACATGAACAGTCCCACCAAGCAGCATATTTCCATAATATATGTATGTCAGGGGGAAAATTGCACAATTCATCCTGCCAGCAGGCACTCAGATAAAGCTGAAGTTATCGAAGATAACAAAATAAAATACTTTCCTTTAGATTTTGGACATCATCTCCAACATTAAAAAAAGATAATCCTCAGAATCCCTTCCCTTGTCTAAAGCTTAAGACATGTAGCTATTCTGTAGCAACATGGAAAGACACAGAAAGGATTTAGATTAGAAATAGAGTTCTAACAAAATAAAGCATAAAATGGAACAATCCTATCTTTCATTACTTGTATCAACAATGATTTGTATGGAAGAAGGAATATTTAATTCTAGCACAAACTTTTAAAGCATTTCAATGACTGTCATATTCAGATTACTGGCAATTATTAAAATTTTTAATTAAAATTAAATTCTAATTAACAGCTGTACCTGCAATACTAAGAAAAATGTCCGTATTGCTTCAGGGATATAATCCCTGAACCCTTCCTAGGGTATTTAATAATCCCAAATTACTGACATCTAACAGAAAGGTAAATTTGCATACAGATATTATATTATGGGAGTGAACAACATCAGCAGTTTCAGTGTGGCAGATGGACAGTGTCATCAGTCACTCTAAGCCTACAGGGCTATCCATGCTGGTGAACATAAAACACCTGTAACATCTGAAATTTTCAGGTTCTATATTGTGGCTGGTTTCTGTTCCTTTTTTTTCGAGTTAAAACAAGATTAATTTTAGAATAACTTAAGTGCCAATAAAATTGGAGCATTTAAATGGCAATTTAAATGACAGTATTTTTGGCAGTTTTGGGTAAAAGGATGTAAAAGTCTCACTCTGCTGCATTTCCATGCAATAGTACAATGCTGCATACCCATGGATAGATTATAGAAGTAAAATATCTTTTCAGCACTTGTAAAATATGTAGCTTGTTTCAGGAGCCAGCAGAAACATTACATCAAAGCTTCACTAAATCAGTGTTAAGAAAAAGAATTATTTACGTAAGCATCATGGCTCCATCTCCACCCTGCCTCCCAGCAAGAAACATCTTGAGAACTATTTGGTTTCTCATGCTTCAAGGATTTCAGTGTAGTTCACGGAAATTTAAAACAAGTTTGAGGGCTTTGTTTTACATATATGATTTTAATAAAGTTTTAGTTGAGGTTTTTTTCCCTGTTAAAACTCCAGTTTCCTAAATTTGGCTCCAAGAAATCCACCTGCATATTTGCCTGTACGGCAAACCAGACTGCATGGCATTCTCTGGTCTTCAGCCAGCTCTGAGAATCCCAAGGTCAGAGAAAAGGAACCAGAACTAAACAAAAAGTCCCTGTAGACAAAATACATGTAGAACTTTTGGCAATTGTTTACATCTTTATCAGAAGAGAACATCAGAGCTTGGATACTTGTATTTGATTATTCTAATGAAAAATAAAACAGTATTTCACATCAGGATCCAGATGATTAACTGCAACTGCCAAAAACTAGGTTTGTTTGTCAGAACTTTAAAAAACCCAAACATACACATCCTAAGAGTTCAACAGCTTTGGATCGGTTTGTTCCTCAGCAAGGAGAAAATGAACAATTGAAACAGGTGCAGGAGGAGATGAAACTGCAGCCTGACCACATCAGCAAGCCAGGGGAGGGCGAGAGGGGTCCAAGAGCAGCAGGAAAAGCCTGAAGTAAAAATGGCTTGAATGAATAGTACAAACACACAAAGCAGTGGCCTGGCCTTCCCATTTGCCTTTTTATTAATTAATCCGTGGTGCCACCCAGGTTACTTCAAGGGAATTTTCAAGTGACTTCCATTAGCATTTCACAGTGTACACAGCAAGCTAAACGGCCACCCATCACTGGTAAGCGGAGCACAACACGTTCACATCGGACACGCTTCCTGTTGCTGTTCCACTTACAGAAGAAGTTCCTTTTCACCAGAACTGTACAAGGAAGCACATTCAGATACAGAGAGGTCACAAGTCCTCAAAGATAAATCCTTGAGTTATTTCATTTTTCAGAGATGGCTGTGAGGCATGTAACACAAAGAAAGTTCAAAATGGACTACGCATAATGCTTAGGAAGAGTTTGGGGTTTGCTTTTGTAGGAGAGAGATCCCATCTCCCATGTGACAGTTCAGAATGAGAATCCTGAATATGGGAGGGCTGGGAGGAGCTACAGCCTTCAGTGCAAGAGAGGCACTGGGCGACCAAGCAATGCTTCGTTCACTATCACAAGGTAAAACACCTACCCACGCTAGTTCCTGCTCTTGACTGAAGCATGACTAAACTTTGGTTTAGTCACTGTTTTGAGGACCGCTGCAAAACTCGTATAAGACAGCTTCTTGTAGGCTGGAATAGATCAATTTTCATATAAAGAAACTGACAAAATGAAAAACAAGATGATGACATACCAGGATCAAAATTATCTCCAAATATTCTTTTAGCTGGAATCTTCAGGTTCATGGTGGGAAATTGCTTCTTTAGCTGAAAACAAAACACATAAAATTGGATTGTGCTTAGACATTAAAGTACCTAGAAATAATTGCATTTTGTTTGTTTTCTGATGAACAGTTTGAACACCTGATTATTAGTAATTCAGCTCCGCTATGCCATTTCCTCTGCTCATACCATGGGGGAAAAAAACATACCCAGAACAATCTGTACTCATTTAGTTTGCAATAGACATATAAATTCAAAGGCCATCTCAACTTCATTTTACAGACTACTTGAGCAACAGTGCAAAATTATTTGCCCCAGGTTATAAAACCAAATTTCAGTGTTGTTTTTCTTTTTCTTCCTTCCTCCACCAATTCTTTATCTCTTTGAGTTTGTTTTCCTTTTATTTGCTTGCTTGCACAGGACTGTATGCATGAGGATGGGATACAGGGGATACAGGCATCTGGGTTTTGTCCAAATTACATTCTTTAAGCTTTAGAAATCACAGGTGGTCTACCCCTACATCAAAATTATAAGCAGATGAACTGTCTATTTTAGGATCCCGCACTTGATAATTTAATTATTATTACACTTGATGAACTGACCAGAAGATCGTACACAACAACAGTGAATAATCTATTTTTAAAAAATTCCAAACCTGGCACTCACCAAGCCTCGACAACATTTATTTCCCCTTCAAGTGCTCCAGAAGAGCAATCTTAGTCTCATCCCTTTTAAGAGAGCAGTTTTCTAATACATTAGCTGGCAATTCTTCCCTTAGCAACGCCAGTATTTCTTTCAGTTAGCAGCACAAGTTCTTTTTGGTGTATATACTGTATGAATTTCTGAACAGAAACTGGAGTCAACGTCCTCCTGGTTATGCCTCCCCAGGACCTCATCTCTGCCCATGTTAGAGAGACCAGGGCTGAACAAACTTCAGCAGGGCAAGGCCAATTCTAATTGCAAGAGAACGTGGCAAAGGAACAGGATCACCAACACTCCCTCTGAAAGGAGGATTTTCTGTTTTCACATCCCTTACAGGTTTATTCCTGCAAGATGCAGGCAAAGCACAGCATGGGGTATCCAGGGGCATTTCAGCTCAGACATTTCCAAGCTCACAGCTCGTGTCTGAAGACCACTGCCACATGCAAATCCATGCACAGGGAGGCAGAAGAGAGAAGGCTTGACTGCTTTCCAGAGAGACAGTGGAAGGGAAGGCACAAATAAGCAGCTGGTAATATTTTAGTATGGGAATCAGAAGGGAATTATTTCCTCTTTTGTTAAAGCAAAAATTATGGTCTCTAAACATGAAGAACTGGAGGAAAGTATGGACACAGCACACAAAACTCATACTCACATCTGAACAAGTATTTACTCCACTTGCCCACTACGTAAAAACAGCAAAACCCTCTTCTAGCAACAAACCCAAGAAATCCATACTCAGTTGCTGAAGTGGGCTATTATTTTGGAACACTGACCACATTTTTTTGCACAAAAAATCACGCCTGCTGTGAAACTGCAGGTATGAACTGCCACCAACGACTGACTACAAAGTTTCTACTAAGAAACAAGGATTTGTTCATTGCTTTCAGTACTTCAAAGAAAAACACATGCTCAGGAGGAACATATCTATCTAGATGTTTTGCAGGGTTTTTTCCCATGAACAAAAGCACATGTTTTGACAACAACTAAGCTGGAAGATTCATTAAGCTATGATCCCAAGGAACTATAAAAACCGTGACAAATAAGTGGATTTTGAGCCTGAAATTCAAACAAACTGAAGTTTAAAAAACCCACTCCATCATCTTCTTTAATTAGACTCCTATGGTTGTTAAATGTTGACTCAAACTCCTCAAGAGAGGATTAACTCAAACCACAACACTGCAAGCATTACTCTGCTGGTCTGGCATGATTTCATAGCTTGCTTTTTGCTTACCGTATTGTAGAGTTTATCAAACTCCGCATACCGTCGAAAGACAAACCACTCATTTCTGCCAACAGAGACCAACACTTTGTAAACCTGTAGGAACAAGGACAGTGTTATTGCCCACAAAGCTTAGTAAAACTTCTCAGGTTTAATCTCTTGGTGAAAGTAAGGGCAGGTTGTTAAATTTATTGTTTAAGTGCACTTATTGAACCATGTATTTCTTATAGCTAAGTCACACAGACATCAACAGAAATGATTAAAAGAACACCTGAAAGAATCTGGTACTTTGCAGAAAATTTTTTAAATAACAGGTAAGTGAAAACTAACACCACAATTGATTTAGAGGAGTTTCATAAATCAGTTAATATCCAAAAAGAACACCTGGCCATCAGATAGTAGTCTATTAAAATTTAATATGAAATTTGTTAACAACTCAATAATCCATAATAAAGACAAATATTAAAGAAGCAAAGCATTTAAAAACACTGAAGACTGCCTTCACCAAAACCTAAAGAGAAAGTACATATGGAAGGTATGAAGATAACTGTTCATTTGACACCCTGAATACAGAAGAATCCTGGCTGATAGCACAATTGTTCAGGGAGGAGGAAGTGGTGCTGTGGCAGAAATACAGCCTATAGAACATAACACACTACCATGAAGGGAGCTATAGCTGGAACCTGCTGCACACTTCAGGCCTTTCAAATGCCACGTTACAGAGGACTTCAGCAACTAGACAGATTGTCAGTCCCTGGATTCATAAACCTGGTTGGCAGCTGTGTGTCCAGCAGGCTTCTCCTGTCTCTCTGGCAATTAGCTGTCTTCACTTCTCTACTTTCTTGTACTTCCAGAAGGAGCTCAGCTATTCCTTCCTTCAGGGAAGAGGATGGGCACAGCAAGGAAATGGGTGCAGAGCGCTGCTAATTCCCAATGCAGAGTACCGGACCAATGCCCCAGTCTCCCTTGCCCGGCAACAGCACCCTGGCTCTCTCTCTAACGCCCACAGTGGAAGTGGCAGCCACCACCATGGTTCCTCAGCCTGAGGGCTGCAGCCAGGCTGTGCTAACTGCTCACACAAGCTGTTCTCAGTCCCCAGCCCTGGGGAGCACAGGAAGCTGCATGGAAGCATCCAGCAGAATGCTGATGAGACCTTCTAAGAAAATCCACTTTGCCTCATACTGCTAAGCAAGTGTTAGCATAAAACCTACCCACTCCCCTTCTAGAGCCTCCCTATGCTGTAGGCAGCAAAAGCTTTAGCTGCAAAACTTAAGTACTGCCCTTGTGATCTCTTATACAGCAATCAAACCCTGAAACCAATGTTCAAACACAAAACACCCCTACTCCCCATGACTGCACAGCACATCAATGCCAACACACTTGAGGACCAAGGCAGCTGGGCAGAAGCACAGATAGCAGAGTGCACAGGCAGGCATAACTCAGGATACGAGATGATATCCACCTCCTTGGCAACCGCTAAATTTAAACAGTTTTGTTCTCAGAGTAGCTGTAGAACAATGACACAATCAACATTTTTTACACAAGACAACATAAAAAATCCCTAAGAGCTCATCCAGTTCACACCACTAAGCTCTTGCACACCCCAACCCCAAGGAACAGCTGCAAGTCCAACAGTTATGGACACGCTGAGCAGTAAGAAAACACACAATATGCACTAAGAATCTGGTAAAACCTAAAGCCATGACATGTCAGGGCTGTCTTACTACTCTCAGCTACACCTATGTAATGATCAGAGACGTGCAATGCTTATTTCTAGAAAGGTGGGGGGGAGGAATGTAGACTTGCTTAGATAATAACCTTTTCAAGTCTAATTATTCCTAATCCTAATTTGGTCTTAGAAAACTCCTTAAACATAGATATGATGCATCACACCTCATAGTATGTGGGTAAAAACCACAAAGCTTTGAGAAAAATAAAAAGGCAGAAAAATAAACAGAATTCCTGAAAATAACACCATAAAATGTCTTCCTAGATACAGACAGGACAGGATCCAGCTATTTCTGGATGCAGTAGGATTTCTTCACATAAGAAGTAACTGAAATTAAAAGCCTTCAACTCTGTGGTAGCTCATGCTCCTGGATTAAGTGCTTGATTTTTATTAAACAAAGAAAAATTAAAAGGTAGGCTGTTTTCTAATTTTGACAGAGCAATCATTGAGAAAGTAAGGAAATTATTTATTGTCAACAAACAGAAAAAAACCCAACCCCCAATTTCCACAGGGCTGGGGATTTATATTATACATCACAGGTTTGAGACAAAGTTTTCAGATTTAATCAGACAAACAGCACCCTTGAAAGAGATTTTTTAATAAGCCCGAATATGATCTGGGTGTAAAGGGAGATGAGAACAGGTCAGAAGAGAAAATTAAGCCTCAGACATCAAACAGCATAGGGATAAAAGTGAGAAACCAAAACAAAGCTATTTGTCAAAACAGGCAAAAGAATGACCTAATATGCAGCAAGGACAGAAAGCAATTAATATAGGCTATATATGGTCCAAAACAAGGAAATACTTTACTCCTTTTATGGAGAAAGTGAATGCTGAACCTTCAGAAAAATGAGGGACAGCAAACTGATGTGGATTTACATAGAACCTGGTTGCCATGAATTAAATGGGAGCAAAAGAAGTTCCCTGCCAGAACCAAAAAAAATGCAAACATGTAATCATTTGAAAAAAAAATAAAAAAAAAATTGGTATTAAATATATCAAAAGTATGCAGTATTTAACAAAACCAAATAAAATATTCAATAAAAGGTCATGAAAATGTTCAGGAGGTATGAGAAGTTCACTTTCAGAGACAAAACTGAAAAGCTCACCTAATTATGAGAATGATGCCTGCTCAGAGACATGATTGTTTTTAAAAATGCTTTATCGGAGTGAGGAGAAAAAGTAGAGCTAGCAAAAGCTAAGATGCACACACTTGTCTTGTTTCCATGCCAGCATTAAGTGAGCCATCAAAAGGTTTGAGCTGAAAAAAAGTTTCTATTCAGACCAGTAAGATTCTAGAAGAGTCTCAGAAGCAGCAGTGACACACAGTGAGCAATGGTAAGGTGAAGACTACACAGTCTATACAGTCACCTGAAATCTTTCCTAGCCTTTATCACTCTGACCTTTCTTTTCACCCCAGGTGAAAACCCTTCTTACTGCTCTCTATAGAAATGGCATTAGTGTGACCATCAAAAGAGACAGTTATACCTACCACAAATTTGCTAAGAGCTGCTTCCCCCTGTACCCCTTTCTCACTCCCTGTCAAAGAACTGATGGGATCCTGTCATTACACACAGCCACAGAACAGGGGACACCGTAACAGCACTGACACATGCTGGAATTCACAGTTTCTGCCATGAAGTTTAGTATGACCCTCACTTCTGTTACCAAATCCTAAAATATATGTGATAATATTCGAAAGCTTGGTTGTGAAAGCACTTCTTGTCAAGCTGCTAATTACTCCCTGGCACAGAAAGGAGAAGACAGCAGGACAAAGTGTACCTCTGCACAGCGTAATCTAGGCTGGATTCTTTCCCCCCTCCTCTTTCTGCCTCCCATTTCTGATGTTTCATACTGCTTTTTCAAGGGCACACCCAAAAAAAGTGGCCTTGCACTGCCCAGGCTGTCTCACAGACCTTCAGGTAAAATGACCTCGACACCACAACATCAGTACATGCTCAATGCACCATGCTGGCATATTTTAACTGCAGAACTGCCAGAACTGAGGCAACAAAACAGAACTGTTCTGCTCAATTTTAGACTTTCACAAAGGTTTTCCTGCTCACCTGAGTTCCACATGAATGCAAAGGTTTAAGGAATTAGTAAAGTTCTCTTTTGTTTAAAGTTCCCTTTACTGGCACACTCCTTCCCCCAGCTACATCTTGACACACTTGTAGAATCAAAGAACACTGTTCTTCTCCAAAAAAGGGAAGTGAAGAGGAAAAGGAGACAACATAGCTCCTAGTAAAACATTGTTTTGTTGTATTCTTCAGACAGCAACTCCATATTGTTTCCACAGTGTTTGCATTCCTCATCTGAAGAGTGACTAACTCACTCAATGAAAAAAAATCTTACAGGAAGTTGCACAAGAGCAACGAAACTGTTTGAGCGTTCTAAAGAAGTATTTTGATCTTGTCATTTAGGATTATATAGAAGACAAACAAAAATCCATACCACACTACTTTATTTTTCAGTATGCAATGCAAAGAATTTCCCTCACAATAGGAAGACTTCACAACCAGAAAGTCAAACTAAAAGGTAAAGAAAGAGGGAGAGAAATGACAAGAAGTGGAAATGGGAACAGGATAGGAAAAAACTCATAAGCATTAGAATCAGAAACAGGAAGGAAGACAGAAAAAAGGTTTTGAAAAAATTTAATGGTTTATAATTTTTTTTCATTTTACACAAAAAATTTACAATAGTATAATAGGATATCTGTGAAAGAATGGATGTCAAAACAAACAAACAACGCCCACAAAGAACCAAATTCACACTTTAGCTCTTTACAAAATAGACATTTTCATGAAAAATCATATACAATGCCAAAAATGGTATCAGAATATTTTCCCTCTACTTGGATACTTAAATATTTTATATAAGCAAATGCAGCTATTTTGTGGAAAAATCAGCAGAAATTTGTAAAGGCAAGTTCTTTTTGCAGAAAGCAACACAGGTAAACACTGTAAAATATTCACAACTTTTCACAGTGGACTATGGCCAGTGCTCACAAGAACAAGGAAACTGATTTCCATAAACCTATTGAAAATAATACGAAGCTTAGTAGCAGAAGAAAAGAAAGCAGCACTGCTAGGCACCAATAGCCTATGCCTTTGCTCACAGTGCTTACTCTCTTACATACTTACAGTAAATCTCTTTTTCTTCTCTCTGTGTTCATCAGAGCTGGGAATGCTAACACTTGGGCAGCTCTCTTTGAGATCCATTGTACGTTTCTTGGGACAAATTCGTTACAGGACCCTGCTCTGGGTGCTGCAATCAGGAGGTCTCGTCAACGGTGCTGCTCCAAGATCCGCAGCTTTTCTTGAGAAAATCTGAATTCCATCATGTTATCTTAAAGTGAACAAAGAAGGAAAATTTAAGTACAGGAGCTCTTAACTAACATTGCTGAAAACCTGTGTGACAAGAACTTTTGCTGGCAGGAAATACACATTAATATATAATGCACATATAAAGCCACAATCATGGCTATTTTGTAAACTTTCATGCTTGTAGTTCTTTGTTGTTTCACTGAAATCACTCACATTCTCCGAGGACAGAGTGCATCCAAAAAATCACTGAGCTGTGTAAACATACTGGAAACAGATTTGGGCCCACTACAGAGAATACTCTGTAGGAACAAAGGGCATGAAGAAATAATTGAAGATGACAACCTGGTATCAGACATCTGAGAAATGCCACCAACTTGTACATTCAGACCTATTTCTTTCAATACCAAAGGTTTTCAACTGCATGAGTCTCTACCAGAGGGCACTTCAGGTTTGTCAGAACATGCTGAGTGCATTTTAATGTCACATCAGAGATGAAAGACAACACGAAAAAAACTAATTGTTCATGTGAATTTTAGAGAGGGACACAGGCAGCATCATGTGTCTGTCTGAATATTTACCTTCTCTGCCCCTCCTTCCCCTTACCAGGCGTATTTTGTGTTTGGCAGAACACAGGGTGTAAGGTCACCCTTTCCCTTCAGTGCAACAGTTAAGTTTCCTTGCAGAAGGTGAGAAGGGCACAACACAAGAGATTGAGAATAAAGCCATCAAAAAGGCAGAAAGCTTAGTGCCAACTAGATGCCTCTTCACTCATGGAAGGACAGCATTGTCCACACCTGCCCTGCGAACAAGCACATTATTTACCGGGCCCCACTGATAACAACAGGAGCTTCAGCAGTACTTAGGAGCAGCCAAAATTAATGCTGCATACACTTCTGTTTGGGCCTGCACAGCATAGCCATTCGAGCTGCTTCACTGAATGCAGCACAGCTGTAGAACAAGATGTGTCTGATCAACTCACAAACATGAGAAAAGTGGCTAAGAAAGAGGGAGACCTCAGTTCACTTCAAAATAGCCAGAGGAAAAAGGAGTGCCCAGTTGAACACTAACTCCCTATTTTCTTAAAACAGGGAAGTATAAAAGTCAACTCTATATTTCATATCATAAATTTCCAAAAAATACAAACTAATCCCATGTAATTCTGCTATTAGAGAGACACCCATATTTATGTTGGCGCAAAGGCCAAAGCTCCTGGAATCCAGTGAAAAGATTTGTTCTTGATACCCAACTAGTCTCAGTCAGTCAACTCACTATTTTTCTTCCTCTCAAAAGCCAGATCATCAAACTTCATGTTGTAATTTCTCTTTCTGCCATTTAAAATTAAGTTAATTTTCAAAGATCTATCTGATGACTTGAACAAAAAGGCATGTTTACAACCACTATAATCACAGCTAAGTGACAGATCATCCATACTGCAAGGTATTTAGAAAATTATTTTTAGCTACAACTGCATTTACCTTAATTTGATTGTTCCCTACTTCACCAATTAGGTAATTACAGTGTTGAGCAGGGTTAAGCTTCTCCCCCACCCTTATTTGACTAGAACACAGTTCATTCAACATAGTTACACAGACCATGGTTTTTCTTTTCCTTTGGAAAACTGCTGTTAAAAGCTTTGTTAAAAGGCACACCTTCCATAATTTTATACCAGCATGAGATTGAGTGTTTTCCCAGTGCCACACACTAAAACAGAGATGTAAAGGTTAACTGAGCTCTTCCCCATCATAAGAGGTCCACTAAAACAGTCAACAGGCACCACTTCCAGTAAGTGTTTCACTAAGCTTAGACTTTACTAAGCACTTGTGTCAATCTTTATCTACTTCAGGTGCAGTATCAGGAACTGAGCATAAGCCCCTGTGTTTTATCTGTCCTACTGCTCATCACAGAAAAACAAGTAAAGCTTTAAAATGGATTAGGTGTTCCCTGATTAATATCACTCACTGTCCTTCTCCTCTTGTAAATCAACGTTTGTTACAACGGTTTCCAAGATGCCTGTACTCATTTTCACAATACAGGCTGTATATCTCTTATCCCTTCAGTTTCTTATTTTTAGTGTCAGAGTTTTAAATGGCAGTACAGGAGCCTTATGGATTAAAAGCTGTAGTCTTGGAAGACAGAGCTTTATTTCATATCTGAAGTTGAAAGATCTCTGAAAAACAAAAGGAGGAAGTGTCAACCAGATTAATTCAGGAAGAGTTTATTCATCTTACTGGGGAGATGAAGAATAAATCATCTGAGAAACCAAAACTGTAATGTTCACATTTCGTTCTTTAAGCTGCCTGGAAGATCACTGGCTGTGATTATTTTCTTTCCCTGAGGCATCTCCTCTGAGCCGTGCCTGGGTCACCAACACTAAGCTGAACTGACAAACTTGGAAGAACTGCATTTTCACTTTGCCACTAAGCTCCAGCGGATCAGAGCTTTCTTTCAATTTCTATTTGCCTCGAGCATATCAGCTCTTGAGAACTTCTTACATCTGAACTGTAGGTCTGACTACAGAAATAGGGACAGACTTGCCTTAATCTTTACCATGCTGCAGTCAGGAGCAGAGCTGTAGTTTAAATAGCAGGTGAAATCACTAATGCTGTGATAACTACATGAAGTAATAATGGAGAGAAAACAGTAGAGGCATTTTTATCCACAGCCTCAAAAGCAGAAACTGCAGCATTTTGAAGGATACCAGATATGAGTGAGTTTAACACTGTCAGCAGAGAAGTCTGTACCTCTGGTTACAGCATTTCTGGAACTAAAAACAAGCAGCCCCTTGGCTCAACTTTGATAACAGACCAAAGAGGAAGGGAATTTCAGAAAACCACATATCAAAGTAAGTCTCCTCAAATCAAACTTGACCATCAGTGAAAGATGTAGACAATGTAGATAACCTGCAAGACAGATTTATGCTGAAACCAGTATTGTCCAGAAACAGCTAAAACTTAAACAGGCTTATGGAGGCCTGGAAGAGAAGAAAGCACAGAAAAAGTTAGAGTAGATCAGAAGTCACCAGTCCTCCTGGCACAGTTTCAAGCCTATCGACAGTTACACTGTCCATTCTCTCCATGGGGGCTGTCCAGAAGCCAGCAGTATTTTCACTGTTTCCTGCAGGAAGCCACAACAACATCAATTTTCAGGCTGACCCTTGCCTGCAGTAAAGCAAGAGCATGGCAATAGCAGAACCCTGACACCACGAGAGCATACAAAAATGCACTACACCCACAAATTAATGCCTGACTATAAAATCTTCAGTGCAGCTTCCTCATAGCTGCATGCAACAGGTAAATATGACATAGTTTAGCATATGTGGCATTCTTTTACACTCTTCTACATAAGCAAACTGTATTATAAAATGTTTCTGAAGTTTAATCAGACTATTTTATTCTGGACTGAAACGTTTTCTCTTCTTTTTAAAATGATAATGGCCGAAAGATGGTATCACTGTATAATCAAAAGATCCTTTTTCTGGGTGCTTATGCTTCAACCTCTGCCTAGAATGTCCAAGGCTAGATCAGGTAGTTGTGCACTTACCTGGTGCCTCTCCAGCTGCTGCCACATTGCCTTAAATACCTCCAAGGCCAGGACAAATCACACTCACTCTTTGAGTAAGACAAGGGAAGCAGAGACAAGAACTGACAAAACCCCCCAAAGACTCTCCCTGCAAGCACGTTTGGAGGCGCCACCAGGATCCATACCCATCGGAACAGCGTATAGGCACTTCCCTATACACTAATAATCTGCCCTGAAGGACTTAGTTTGGGACTGAACCATCATTAAACCAGCTGCTGAAAATCTCACCTGTGATTCCAACTACAGAAGGAACCTGCATATGAAGAAACTGAAAGCAAGGCACAGGAGGCACTCCTATTATTCACTACGAACACTACCCGATTTCTTCTAACTTTAGAGAAAGTATCAACTTTGGCATGCTTTTCATCACTTCCTCTGTCTTCTCCACAAATACACTGATAATGGCTCAACGTATCACTGGGCCTTACACAATCTTGTAGAAAACCCAGAAAGTCTACTTTTTCTCAACCTTTCTATGGAGAAATAGTGTCCCATTCTTGTTACCAGACAGCAGCTGACACAGAGGAAATGGGAGACAATATATTCAGAATCCAGTGCAACAGAAATGCAGGATGAGGCCCTGTACATGAAGTCAAATGGTTCATACAAAGTCAAAGGCAAAACACAGATTGCTAATCTTTAAAGGCAGAGAGATGGCCAGAAGCTGTTCAGTAACAAGGTTCTGGAGAAAACAGGTTTCATTCACAAAAATACAGCCTTTTAAATATCACATTACATACAATTTTTAATACACTAACCCTAGACACGAGGGTAGACCTCTAGCGAGACTTCACCTGAATTAAAAAACAGAGCACTAACCAAAATACTCTAGTCAATCCCTGGCTTGTCTCCACACTCCCTTCTAGAGTACAATTTGTGAGAGTTGAGAATTGAGCCACTAGTATAAAGGAAAAAGCCTGCTCCCTGTTTACACATCCACCCACCACCTAGCAGTTTTAAAAATTTCTAGTAACACCACTCCTCTGCAGCAACATGGGCAAAGTCCAATTCAACTGAATCTTTCTAGTTAAAGGAAAGGATTGCAAGTGAAAACACAACCAAAGGAATGAAATAACTAATTATCCTCTTTTTGTCTCTATCAAATTTACCTTGGAGAAGTCAGGCAAACATTACCTTCCCACGACTGTACTGCACCCAAGAACATCCCTTCTGCCTCACCTCCAAAAAGAAGCTCCACTAAATTACTCTTAACTGGCATATAACAAGATTTGTGGCTTGGATTAGACCTATTTGCATTCATATTTATTACATGACAGAACACAGGTTCTCTGCTGTGGTAAGCAAACCCTGAGTAATAAAACAGGTCTTAAGAACAAATACTGCCAGTAAGAGGCAGTTGTCCTTTAATCCTGAACACATCTCCATAATAATTCCAACTTTAGCCGGTGTCCACAGTACCCACAAGGAACACTGTGTGTCTCA